GGACTTAAAAGGGTCCGGAGGGACACAAAGGATCCACGTCGAAGCTTCGGTACTGGCTGTGATTGGCGACCGGGCGTGGTCCCACCGACAGATATCCTGCTTCTTTTTAAACGTCGCTGAATTCGAGGACACGTTCCGGCTTTCCCTCCTTTTCTACTCCTTTTCTTCGTTTTTCTTTTTTTTCTTCACCTCCTCCTCCCGCCTTAAAGATTCGAGAAATAGTTGAGATTAACTACACATACGGAGAGATTCGTTTTTTTCTCCCATGGAATGTGTTTTAACATATGTTTGATATTGTATATTAATTGACGTTTGAACGAGTGTGAAAATTAATGAAATCAATCGTTTGGATAATTATACTATTGGTTGAGTGATAAGAAAGAGGAAAAAATAGAAATAGATAAATATTGAATTAATAATTTTAATCTTTAATTGAAAGATAATATTAAATTAGCGAGATAGATATATCGTAATAATGAGATATTTTATATATTCTTTTGATAACAATTGAATTTTTACTGTTAATGTACTAAAATATTTAAAAAAATTCGTGTTAAACTATTTTTCGCAGGTTCAAATTCTTCCGGTTAAAAGTAGTTAGAGATTTGGCCGGCAGAGGTCAGTAGCGATCAGAGAGTCATGTGCTGCCATCTAGTAACGATTGTTAGAAAGTATACATATATCATATATTTGCGAATAATTAATTACACAATTTTAGAAATATTTTACAAAATTATAAAATTATAAATAACAAAAGAATAAATTCGACAAACAAAATATCGTTTTTTAATTAAATATTTCAAAAATTTCTTCTTATCTTTATTACTGAATAAAATTTCTTTAAATTTTGCTGTACAAATAATGCTTCAAATCAGAACTCTCGTATCATAAATTAGAATAAAAATTCTATTTTTTGCAAAATTATGAATGATAAATATATATTATAAAATCGAAAATATAATATTTTCTACATAAAAAATTAGATACATTATAATTTTAAAAGAGAAAAAATGAAAATGTGTTGAATTGATATGTAATAAATGACTCGCGCGCTAAAAGCAAAATAGACAAGGAAAAAAAATAGTGGAAGAAGGATAGAGATAGAATAAAAATATTGAAATCAGCGCCATCTCTAGAGTGCCGCAAATGAAATACATAAAGAAAGGACAGAAAATAATAAGAGAAAAATAGAAATAGAACAAGAATTGACTACTACTGCCATCTTTTAAGTTTCAAAGACACTTCTTTAAAGATATGGTAAAAAGAATTCAATGCCAGCGCCATCTTTTGGATTTTTTAAAAACAAGTCTTTAAAATAATTTCTTTGCCAATCGAGAGATGGCGCTAGCAATTAATTCTTATTCTATTTTTATCCTTTTCTTATTATTTTCTATCTTTTAAAAATTATTTTAAAGAATTGTTTTTAAAAAAATCCAAAAGATGGCGCTGATATTGTATTCTTTTTACCATATCTTTAAAAAGGTGTCTTTGAAACTTAAAAGATGGCAGTAGTAGTCAATTCTTATCCTATTTCTATCCTTCTCTTATTATTTTCTGTCCTTTCTTTATGTGTTTCATTTGCGGCACTCTAGAGATGGCGCTGATTTCAATATTTTTATTCTATCTCTATCCTTTTTTCAATATTTGCTCTCCTTGTTTATATAACATTTTTACATTAAAATTACCGCTTCGATATCTAATTAATTTTATTGTCTTTTTTTTTGTTTAATGTATTGGTTAAAAATCTCAACATCTTATTTGATTCATATTTTTCATATTTTTTAAATATACATATAATGTATTCTTCAGTGATATTTTTTTATCATAGAAATTCATAAACTTTATTTTCTACATAATTATTCTGTATTACATATACATATTATACATAATAATTAAAAATAATTATACATAATATTTAAAAATTAAGTAATAAAATATCAAATTATTGTTTCAGGTAAACAAAAAAATAGATATATTCTATAAAAATATTTGTATATATTATATTACATTTGCATACTTTTTTACAAGATTTCTATAAAAATCAAATACATATTGGCTAGCTTGTTTACATTTATCTATTGTTTCTAAAAATTCTTCTTCTGTAAAACAACCAGCAGTATAAGAACATATAATGTCTTTTTTCATACTATCAAATGCATATGTAAATTCTGCTTTAGCATCCTAAAACAGATTTAATAAAAATTGAAAGATTAATCAAATAAAATGTTTTATTTGTCTTGAATCTTTTTTTAATTAATTTCTAATTAATAATCTCTAAGATGTGTAAATATATATTGATATAATCATACTTGTAACTGAATATTATCAGGATCTAATATAATATTATTAGTGCCTTCCTGTATCATACAATTAACTGCTGCAATAGTAAATTTCATTGGAATACCAGCATTAATAAGTGCTAAACAAGCTGCATTAATTGTACAGGCTAACATCTGAAAAAGTAATTAATATTAATTACTTTAAAGTATATTTTAAATTTTTATAATGCAAATCTATATGAAATAAATTCATACCCCACCAGAATCTTCCATTTCTTGTATGTTAATGCATATAGCAGTTGCTGGATGAAAAGTAACAATTATTGCGGCTTCGCAAGTTTCTTTAATATACATTTCTGTCATTCTATCATCAATCTCTTGGAAAATTAATACACATATCAATATTTTATAAAACAATTAAATTACATTTAGAATATAGTTTAACTTACTCGCTGGACCTTTGACTGGAATATATGATACTTCGATTGATGCTTTATCATAAATCATTTTTTGAGGTTTTGCTTCTATTGGTCCATATATTCCAGCAACTACAGCAGTATTTCCTAAATTATATAAAAGATTATTATTAAATAAGGTTTAACGTTATATAATAAAAATAGATATAAATAAAAGATATAAAGAAAAGTTAAAATAAAAATTAACAATTACCTTGCATTAGCATCGCTGATCCATCAGGCATAGATAGCTGATTTAACTCACAATTCATTGGCCGCAACATAAATTCATTTTCTGATTCTTCTGGTTTTTCCTTAGACATATCTTTTTACAATTTAAAAGTATACAATGTTTAATTGCACTTGGCGGGAAACACGTATCTTAGAGGTTATACTATTCCAAACAATGAAGCACATGTAGAGATGGTACAATATATTTCGAAACATCGATATATCGATTGGAAACATCAATTTTACCATCGATACTTAGAGATCGATATATCGAAACCATCGATATTTTTCTGATTAAGTTTCTATCATTTAATAAAAATAATTTTTTGTTTACTATTTACTATCAGTTTAGAATTACAATTCAAATACAATATCAATTCTTTTAAATAATTCATTCTTTAACTATGTATAAAAAAAATATTTCTTAAAATAAAATTATTGGGCAAAAATATTTAACAGTTCGCTTTGCTATCGGTAGTAATCTACGACAAGTTTGAGCGTTTATCAAAGAGATGGCGCAACAAGTTAAATACTAAAAAATATATACATATATATCATACATATTTTTGTCATATATTTTTATCATATATAAATTTTATAAATTTACTTTCTACATCGCAATATTTTTTTTTTTCTTCAAAATTTTTTTCAAAATATTGCGATTTCATTTTAAACATCTTATCTCTTTGATCTAATTAAATTTATTTAAATTTAAATAATTATGAAATAAATATAATAAAATGAAAATAATATAATAAATGTATTTATTATAAATTTATATTAACTTATAGAAAATATATTCGTATTTTTTTCGATATCTTTAATTCTTTTATCGTGCTTTATTCATTATTTATTCTTGCATTATTTATCCTTTTTTATTCAAGCTGCCATCATATAAAAAAAAATTGAAATTAAACATGGCAAATCATAATTTTACTTTATTATTTTACTAAAAAAAAATATGAAATAAATTTTCAATACAAACATTCGTGTTTCAATTCAGCATAATAAGCGGATTGATAAGCCATTTATTAATTTCACATTGATAAGTACAAGATAAATGTCCCGATAATTTATCGAATTATTCTATATAAGAAAATAAACTTAACAATGGAATTATAACAGTGTTGATCAAAGGAAAAGTATAAGAAAAAAAACTGAAGATGGCATTTGAAAAATTTTTATTAATCATTTTCCTGATCGGGATTTATTTTTCAAAGATCCAAGGACGAGGATTAATGCTCGATCCTATTAGTAGAAGCAGTGCTTGGCGAAAAGGATTCCCTGTTGAACCGAATTACAACGATCATGAACTCTTCTGCGGAGGAATAGATGTAAGAATCAATAATATTTTTAATCGCGAGGAAAATTTAAGAAAATCAGATTTGTTGATTTGTTGATTGATTGTTTGTTAAAAACGATAAATTATATACTGAAAACGGATCAAGTTCTCCGTATATGTCGCATCAATGAATTGAACGTGTTAACGACAAATATTGAAATGTTGAAAGCAAAGTAAATGAAAAACAAATCGTTAATTAATTACGATTGATACATTTTTACATCGTAGATCCAATATGGACAAAATAAGCAAAGATGTGGCGAATGCGGTGACGATTACGCTATTTCTCGTCCAAGACCAAACGAGAACGGTGGTCTTTATGGAACCGGTGTAATTGTGAAAAGGTAAATTCATTTTCTCTTTCTTATTACGATATCTCTATGATCCTTTGATGTTTATGATCCTTTAACAAATAATCGTTAAATAAAACTTATTATCACAAAATCAAATTTCGAAATCCAATCAATTGTCGTTTAAAATCCTAACTGTTAATTAACATTATCTATTCTGTCGTTCACAGATACAAGGCAAATCAAATCATAAATGTAAAGCTAAAACTGACCGATAACCGTTTAGGAACATTCACATTCAACCTATGTCCTCTGAACGAGACATTCCACCTCGAAACCGAGAAATGCTTCAATCAGTACCCACTGAAATTGGTCGATCAATATAATTACAACTTCCAAGTACCCAACGTGAAAACAGAATTCAACATAGCAGTCCGTATACCGAATATAACGTGCAACCAATGCGTGTTCAGATGGGAATACGAAGCTGGGAACAATTTCGGCCGGTGCTACAATAATGAAAATCCCTCTATTGGATGCGGGCCTCAAGAAACTATACGAAATTGCGCCGACATTGCGATCGAACCTGATGAAAATTCGTGAAGAAATTCGCTTAATCGAAAAACATAATTATTTGATTAAATTGAGTTGTAATAATTTCAATCTTTGAGAGATTCTCGAGAATGATTAAAATGCCATAGATATCTATCCATGGAATTTTACAATAAGGTCGAAAATCATTGCGATAACTTAATTGAGAATTAAGAATCGAGATAGAAACACGATAATTGAGATTTCGATAAGAATATCAAAAATTTTCAGAACGTATACAGAATATTCGATATTATATAATTAATTTCAATAATAATAATTTACTTTTTCTTTTTTTTTTTTTCGATCTCGATGGATTAGCGAGTATTTACATATTGTTATTTGAATGATACATTCAATCTGAATTGCATAACAGAAAGGTGGACGTTAATCATCTTTCTGAATAACATTGTTATTCCTCCACTTTTATTTCCTTTCGTTTCACGCGCCACTAATGCGGCTCGAGAGAAAGGCTGGAAAAGGAAACTTGAACAGAGAATCGCGACGGATTAGTGCGTATTTTCTAAACGTATTTTCCTTGGTTCATTGTTCTGCGCACGTGATGCAGCTGGCAATAAATAATTGGAGAAGAAGATAAAACAGTTGGCTGATAATGCGTTGCAATACAAGCGGCAAATTAACGGAAGCGTACTACATTATTCGGCACGCTTTCACCGAATCCATGTCTCTCCTTGGTTTTAAGTCCTCCTTCGTCCGCGTTACACTTTTTACGTTGCGGTTCCTCGTTTCTTCCCGTTAATATTCGCGAATATCGTGCAATGAATATTTTAATTATATTATTCGACAACAACTTTGCATCCAATCGTTAAGATATTATCCGATATAACAAAGTTTATCGGATTTTTTAAACGTCTTATTATCGGATACTGCAAAGTGTAATTAGCATTCAATAACATCCCTGCCTATGAATAATCAGAGATTCATTGCGATGCGAACCGATGATCCTTAAATCGACAGACCTCATAGAAAATCCGGAACGCGTGTCGATGAGTAATCGTCTATTTTATGACGTGAACCTGGTTATTACGTAGCACAACTTGGAATCTCGTAATTATCGTGAAAGTTCCATAATTTAATTTTACCGAGGATTCGAACAAGAGAGTAGAAATCCTACTTCGCGTAGAAAATCTGCGTATGGATGATTAATAGGCTAATTTGTGAACGAAAACCTTGAATACTTTAGTAACATAGATAGCGTAAATGATATCCCTTAATTGCGTAAAAGTATACATAATAAGTAAACATAAGCCTATCCACGAGGATTTTCGACGTACATTTCTTTTTTCGTAAGATTGGAATCATAAAAGTTCTTTAACATAATTCTACAAGGAGTTTCTTTTTAGAAACATTTTGATTTTAGAAAAAAAATATTACGAAAATGATAATGACAAAAGTATGGAAATATCGTTCGACGATGTATCGACGAGACATTCGAGTACAAGAATTATCTCTATCTCGTATCTCGCTTTCAATGTTACCATGGAACAGAAATCTCGCAACACGATCTCCGTATTACGTTGGTGAAATATGTAGACGATCTAATGTGATATAATCCTGACTGTTAAAAGATTGCTCAAAGACGTTATTACTCGAAGAATCGCGTAAGATAATAGAGCGCGGGGAACGATTTTCTGAAACGCCTAGCGTGAGGAATCTAGTTTACCGGCTGCATGACATAAGACACGTACACAAATACAATGAGAGATCATTAGGTGAGGCTGAGTGAGTGCGTGCGAGCTAGATAAGTATCCATTTGCTTTTTCCCCGCGAAAGATTTCTCCTGCCAAATGTTATACGTTCGAGTCTACAGGGTGACTCGATTAAAAAAGAATGCCAACGTTCAAAGCGTAAAATCTGATGTTTGATTCTGAGGTAGCGCACAGATGTAGCTCGAATTCGAGCGATGGGTTTGAGTCAACAACGAAATTGAGCATTATTAAAAATAGCTCGATTCTTCTTATAGTGAATTTCCATTGGAGAAGAATACGCAACGTCACATTGTGCGCTTACCGTCGTTGCTAAATTATGCAGAGACACGTCACGCTTACCTTTGACGGAAGCCTGGTCAGTTTGCCTAATATAACAGAGGGAATAATGTGACGTCATTCTCCTTCTATAGAAATTCACCGTGGAGAAATCGAGTTATTTTTAATGGTGAAAGGATAACGTCTGGCAATTTTGATCAAAAGCTAAGTCAAACGAAGGAAATAAAGTCAGATGACTTTTTATTTCAATACGAAAAAGAGTAATGCCGTCACAGCTATTCGCCATTTATATTCTGAAAAAAGTGGGAGTATCGATGTATATTAAGGATATTTGTAACATAAAACGTTCATTTCTAAACTTGTTTGAACAATTAACTCAAACCCATCACTTGACTCGATATCTGCGTTGTAACGTTTCAACATCTGCAGAATTAAATTAATTAATTTTTATCGGAATTATCTTTGCTTAATTTTTATAGCAATTAAATCTTAGCACACTTGATTTGTTATAGATTTTAGATCATTGCTTTAATAATTTGTACATTCTGTAATGTGAAAAATTTCACATATTTAATTTCGTCGCGATAAAGATATAATTGTCACATCAGACTTGATACATGTGTATTTAATATCATGAAATTACTTTTATCACATCAAAGGACAACATACGTCCATTAAGGGAGGAATAAGAATTTAAATAATTAAATCGAAATAAAAATTTCTACACAAATATGCAATTCGAATTCGATTACTGCGATGACTCGCACAAATTGGAGATTCCTGTTCCTGTTCTTCCCTCGTCGCAGACCCGCCTTGCGATGCGTCGTCACCCTGACCCACTAAAGCTTTCTCTTCAAGGAACAACAAACTTGTTAAAAATCTAAAAAAAAAAGTGTGACTTGTTCAACTTGTACAAGAAAGGAAAATTATTTCGCGAGAAAAGAATTCGAATTCTTCCAATTCGAAATATTCAAACGAAGATAATAAT